CGCCAGCGGGGGACTTAGTTTAGCATAGGACCCTATGGGAAATACATACAAATGTCTTCTTTTAGAGAACCACTGAATGGAATGAAACCAAACATGTCATAAATGTTCCTTGTGAAGTGCTGATGAAGTGTTGCTTCTTTGTTGCTGATTTACTGTTCAAGATCCAAAAACACCCTAAAACCGTATATGTTTATAAGGTTAATAATAATCCCCCACCACCGCTCTGACATGCCATAGGTGTATATTATGGCTCAGGGTATCTGCTAGGTGCCTTGGTTATCATGTATTGTAAGGTTATAAGGCAGCAAACTGTTTTATTCGACTACTACCCTTATACCGGATAGCCAGCCCCCAATATTGACCATAATGACCTTAAATCTGCTAAAGGTCCATACGAGGGTCCATAATCATCGCAATGACCCCAGCTAAGTATTACCGACCTTTGTAGAAGACCCTGTGCCCGTCCAAAGGCAGATAATGCAGTTTACGGACCAAAACCCGTACACTACATGTAGTATGCTTATATTTTTATTAGGGGTATAATATCCCCAAGCACCGCCCTGACATGCCATAGGGGTAGATTGATTGATTGATTGTTGGTTGCTTAACGTCCAGTGGCAAATATTTCATGCATATTCAGGACGAGAACAAGTTCACAATAAATACAATAGGTAGGTTCTGTAATAGATTAAGGGATTCAGGTCAGAGAAATTTAGACTGCCACGGGAAATGAGGGTATATTGGATAGGGACAGAAATTTAGCCTTGCAACAGGTCACCTACGGACCCCTCAAAGAGTTGTTGCAAGGGTTCTTAACGTGCAAAGAACGTGGCACTTTCTTTACACGAGGCATCGGATTTAACGTCCCCATTCTGACCGGACGTGGCTGCAAATTTGTACATCCCGCACAGCCAAACGGACGCCCCACTTTAGCACGGGTTTTACTGCCGGTCGGAGGAAGACCAATGGTGACCATACTTCTATTCCCCAGTCACCCTTGGGGGTTCATAGGGGTAGATTATGGCTCATTACAACGCACAGGGTCTCTGCTGGGTGCCTTCCTCCTTGGTTTTCATGTCTCTGCTAGGTGCCTTGGTTATCATGTATTGTAAGATATAAGGCAGCAAACTGTTTTATTCGACCCCTACCCCTATACCGGATAGCCAGCCCCAATATTGACCATAATGACTCCGGATCATTTTACCCTAGAGGCCCAGCTAAACCTGCTACAGGTCCATACGAGGGTCCAAAATCGTCGCGAAAGCATAAGCTAACTGTTAGAGACCTTTTCAGACGTTGTAATACCAGTCTTGAGGTAGAAAAACACGAAAACCCAAAACAATTGGCCAGAATAACATGAAATTGTGATAATGGTATACAGACTTTTTTGTTCGGGACAGACGTTTAAACTTCTAAATCCGTATGGAAGCTAAAGGTAAAATGGCAAAAGGTCAGTTATTTGTCGATTACATTTTTATATCAGTGCTGTTTTATAAATAAATTGGGATGTCAAAAATTGCACATATGATGAAGACTCAGGTAAATGTCATCGGTTCCTAGTCTCGCCTAAACTATGTAGATTTGAAAAAAATATGTGAAATGTACGTTACATTTGTTCAAGATGATTATTTTTACAGAAAGTGTTTTTGTCTTAAATTAATTGGCTTATGACTAAGGAACTAAGTGAAACTAAGTCCCTTGATGACTTATTATTAAGAAATCATGAAGTGTTTAGTGTAAACAACACAAATAACATAACATAAGTTATGGGTCAATATTCACTCCATAGCACTTTTGTATGATTTATATTAAATTGTATTTTTATGAATTTATCTTAATCTTTTAAAACTTTTGTATTTGTAGGAGTGTGTTTTATGACATAAAGAAATAAAAAAAATAGTTTCAAGCTTATTGAGTTTTTCGTTTTAAATGATCAAATGTTTAAAGGGTCCTAATTGGTGTTTTTTCAGTGTAAATTGTGACATACGCCATAACGATTTTATTTCTATAAATTTGAACATGTTTTGAATGGACAAACCACCCTAAACATCGGTAAAAAGATTTTGAGGAATATAATAAACAAGAAGGAACACTCAAATAGATAAACTTTCCCCAATTAACATCACAATTATTTGATGAAAGTGACTTCTGTCCAAAGGCTTCATTTCAAAATTTCGTTTTTTGGGAGTTATATGAGAATTCCTCGTATTGTAGATTAAATACATATTTTTTCTCGTTTGTTATTTTCGTTTACTAAGATTCAAAATGGCCATGAATTCATCATTAGATGCAGAAAATCGATGTTGAAGTTGCGGTTCGAAGTTCTGTCCAGATCGAATCCCTTACGTGATTAGGAAATCCCATGTTGTAAATTTAGAAATCTAAATATAGGAAAGCCAGAGAGAGGCTGGAACATGCGAAAACAAGTTTAGGACTATAATATCCGGTTGTCAACATTTGGCACGAAAGACGAAGATCAGATAAACGTCAAGATATCATTTCTGTCCAAAATGTTACGTGAATGCAATGAATAACATACAAATTCCCTATTAAGTGTTTATTTCCTTGTGTTTGAAAGCTGTTTTTGTGTTATTACTTCGCAAGAATACAATGTGAAAAGCAATTTTTTGATATAAAAGGCTCGAGATAAGACCGGAGTGAGACTTATATCTTTGTTTGGTCATCCGGACAGATATCAATATTAATTTATCGTAACAAAGACAAAAAGCAATATCTGTCATGGTTGCATGAAATGTAAAAATACATACATGATTATCTCGGAGTTTTGCACTGTTCCGTTACTATTTCATTATGATCCCACCACTCATATGTCAATGTCACTTGGATTTTTTTTTTTGTTTCATCGAAAATTAAAAAAGTGTGTCTATATTTTTTAACATTTCACATAACAAGACGGACAGAATGAAATCTGTCACGTTACAAAAAATCTGTATCACAATAAATAAGTTGTCCGTCTTGTTACATGATTCTATTTAGTGAGGGTACCTGAATGACAGTTTACCTGTAATTATTAAATAAAATGGGTAAAGATATAAACCTGTGTATAAAAAAAATAATTCTTATTACATGAATGGAATATTTGTTTAAACTTATTATGAAATAACTTAAAATTCTGATATCATGTAACAGACAGACAGATGTGTCCATCTTGTTACATTACATTAATTTTGAGTTGCAATTTAGTATTGTTTAAAAGTAAAATGATCTTTGTTGTTTATCACTTTATTTTCATAAGTGATAAAATTGTGTTTATATAACATTTCTTCAAAATATCCTTTTTAATGTAAATGTTCCATTTGTTTAACATTTCATGTAACATGACAGACAGACTTGTCTGTCTTGTTACATGGATTGTTTACTCAGAAACCATTTGTGACCATCCACTATTAAGGTTATATATGGAATGTGCTTACAATTAAAATTTAAAAGGAAACAATAATTCCTGTTTCAGGTAAACAATATTTGTTGAAGAAAATAAGAAATAACATTAAATTCTGATATTATGTACCAAGACACACAGACACGTCTGTCAAATTTGTTACATAAACTCCAATTGCAAATAGGTATACTGTATACTTCAAAATAAATAAGCTTCTTTTTTATAAATTTTAGATTTTACGTTTCCGAGTTATGGGGTTTTATTCATTAAAAAAGGAGGGTTTTCCAGTTTTCGGACAATAAGGGCTATTCCATCAAAAAGGAGGTACTAGGGTCGGAAGGCAATTTTTAAGTACCCCCACGACCAAGATTGATTGATTGATTGTTGGTTGCTTAACGTCCAGTGGCAAATATTTCATGCATATTCAGGACGAGAACAAGTTAACAATAAATACAATAGGTAGGTTCTGTAATAGGGGCTTCCGGGATTACAGGTCGGAGAAATTTAGACTGCCACGGGAAATGAGGGTATATTGGATAGGGACAGAAATTTAGCCTTGCAACAGGTCACCTACGGACCTCTCAAAGAGTTGTTGCAAGGGTTCTTAACGTGCAAAGAGCGTGGCAAAAGGTGATTTTCCAGTTTTCAGACAAAAAATCAAAAATGCTTTCAGCAGTTCTTATGAAACTTTGGTGAATTGTTTATATCTATTGATGTAAGCTGCGTTTAGAATTTTATAAATTTTTCATTTATCATTTCTGAGTTATGGGGTTTAATCATTAAAAAAGGGGGGATTTTCCAGTTTTCGAACAATAACTCAGAAATTCTGTCAGCAATTCTCATGAAACTTTTGTGAATTTATATCTATTGATGTAAGCTCCCTTTACATTTTCATAAATTTCTAATATGACATTGAGAATTAATTGAACTTTATTTGTTTATAGTCTGACAACAGATTTACTAAGTATTGCGCAACAGCATAGTGTATTGCACAACAGCAAGAAATCTTTAATTGAATATAAATTCAATTCATATAACCAATTTCAAGTTCTTTGACTATATTTATTCAGAAACCTATAATATGTCAAATATTTAATTACAATCAAAATTCAGACCTGTATCAAGCTTGAATATTGTGTCCATTTTTGCCCCAACTGTTCAGGGTTGGACCTCTGCGGGCGTATCCAGCAGTTTATTCGTATATAAATTAGGCCATTAGTTTTCATGTTTGAATTGTTTTACATTGTCATTTCAGGGCCTTATATAGCTGACTATGCGGTTTGGGCTTTGCTCATTATTGAAGGCCTTACATCATGTACATTGACCTATAGTTGTTAATTTCTGTGTCATTTGGTCTCTTGTGGAGAGTTGTCTCATTGGCAGTCATAACACATCTTCTTATTTATAAATTAATTTATCAGATCAATACAAAGAAGAAGAAAATCAAACATAGACACAGACTGGACTTGGTTCACATAGCAAAACAAGCGCGTCATATTAAAATCTTTAATAAAACACAGTTGCCTATAAATTATAAATGATTTTTTTTTGGTAAAACTAGTGCATAGTGAACTTTTACATTACAATTTATTTTAAAGATTTGAAATGAGATTGAGTGCCCTACCATCTGCACAGAGTCCAAATACTCTAGAATTGAACAAGAAACAAAAACATGCGAAAGTAATGCGTGAAAGACGAGCAAAGTGGAATGAACAACAGAAACAAGAAAATAAAGAAAGAAGCAGAATAAGGATGCAAAATATGCGTGAAAGGAAAAAAAAAAGAACATACTCAAAAGTCTGTACGTAAAAACATTCTGACAAGACATGAATTAAAAAAAGGAGAGAAAAAAGAGACAATACAGAGAAACTCTGTCTTCACAAAAGAGAAGAAGAATTAAAGATTGATTGATTGATTGTTGGTTGCTTAACGTCCAGTGGCAAATATTTCATGCATGTTCAGGACGGGAACAAGTTAACAATAAACACAATAGGTAGGTCTTGTAATAGAGGTTATCCGGGATGATGGTCGGGGAAATTTGGACTGCCACTGGAAAATGAGGGTATATTGGATAGGGACAGAAATTTTGCCTTGCAACAGGCCACCTACGGACCCCTCAAAGAGTTGTTGCAAGGGTTCTTAACGTGCAAAGAGCGTGGCACTCTCTTTACACGAGGCATCGGATTTAACGTCCCCATTCAGACCGGACGTGGCTGCAGACTTGATACATCCCGTACAGCCAAACGGACGCCCCACTTCGGCAAGCGTTTTACTGCCGGTCGGAAGAAGACCAAGTGACCATATTTTGTTTTCCCAGTCACCCTTGGGGGTCAGAATTAAAGAAAAAGAAAAAAACAAGAAAAGGTTAAAACGACAGAAAACAAAATTAAACAAGCTTGCAGTTCATCATTTTCATCAAATAGACACTACATCTAATATAATTTCAAATACAGATAGTGACATAGTACCTGTTCAAAATGATCAATCTAATCAAGTGTCAAAGCAATGGGCCAAACCAGTTTTAAGAAAAGCAATAACCAGGGTAAAATCAGCTTTGCCTAGAAGTCCTTCTTAAAGGCAAAAGGTGTTGAACCAATTGAATAAAACAAATGACACATGTAATGAACAGAACAGAACACTTATATCAATAGTGAAACCAGCACATGACAATTTAAAAGGAAAAACAAAGACAGACAAGATGGCCAGAAAAAAATTTGTTTCCAATTTATCAGACCATATCAAAAGAAAATATGGCATGCAAAGTTTAGTTTGTAAAACCTTTGGAATTGAAAAAAGATACTTAACAAAATATTGTAAAAACACAGAGCAGAAACAAAGAAAGGATACTATTTCAAAAGATACTACAGATTCTGCTAACAAATTTCTTGTACGTGAAGACATATCAATTAATGTACCAAATATAAAAGCAATGAAAGCAAATACAGAAGACCATCAATTTGTGCTACAGAAGTCAACGACAGAAATATATTCAGATTGGATGGCCGAAAACCAAAATACAGTTATCAAAATCTAAATTTTTAAAAATGAGACCAAAAAATGTAAAATTACAGAACTAGAGAAAACTAATCTAGTGTCTATGTGAATATTGTGAAAATATGAATTTGAAAATCCCAGCATTTAACAATTTTGCAGTACGTAAGAATAAACAACAGCTTAGTATTAGAGATAAGTACGAAGCTATTAATATGAATTTGTGCGAAAAAAATGGGGAACAATTTAACAAAATTACTTATATAGAAGGAAAGTGTGTGAATTGTGGAACAGAGAATCTAAGTAAAAGAATGGAACCTCTAATCATAACTAATGAAGAAATAAAATGGCAAAAATGGGATTTTGTGAATGTTCCAAACCACGAAACAGGAAAAGAAATAAAAAAGGCAGTTGGTTACATTTTTCACCCCAGCACAACAGTTGTTTGTTCAACTATTGGATGAACTGCAGTTCCTACTATATCATTTGTTTGTTGCTAGTTGGCAACAAAATCAGTTTAGACAATTAAACAATAGACCCCAGAAAAAACTGTTGTCCTCATAATGGATTTTGCAGAAAATTTTTCTTGCTTTTCACAAAATGAAATCCAAGGCGCCCATTGGGCCAAAGACTCAGTTACAATACATCCAGTTATAGCAAGATATCATTGCAAAAAACCAAGAATGTAACAATTCAACAGTAGATGACATCATTGACATCATCAGTAATGATTTACAACATGATGTCCAAGCAGTTCAACAATTTACAGAAGTGATTATAAATATTTTGAGGGAAGAAAGAGGAATAGATGTAGAAAAAATGTTCATTCTTTCAGACGGATCTGCTGCCCAGTATAAGTCTAAGGTGGCATTTTTAGATTCCATCATGTCAGAGGTGGACAATAATATTAAATCAGAAAAGGCATTTTATGGCTCCAGGCATGGAAAGAACAGGTGTGATGGAGAAGGGGGGTCATAAAATGGAAGGCAGCAAGAATAATAAGGAACGGAGGATTGATCAACTCTGCTAAGGATTTGTATCAACAGTGTTTATGTTTGGAGAAAGAAATAACAAACCTTGATGGAATTTGTAACCATAATAGACGAAAATTAATTTGGGTTGAAAGAGGCAACATACATCATGTAAGACCAAACAGAGTATGTAAAACAGTTAAAGGTACCCGAAGTCTACATTCTGTGAGGGGTATCAGAGCAGGGGAAATTCAAGTTAGGAAACTAACTTGTTTTTGTGATATTTGCACTGCCACTGAAGTAACAAGTTCAAAATGCCAGAATGAGACAGTTGTTGGAGCATGGAGAAGTGTTTACTTGAATGGTTTTAACAGAAATGATAATGCAGAACAAGAAAATCAAATCACGCAAATAGAAACAGAGGGAGATGAAATGGTACCAGAAGATGAACCCAATCTAAACAGGAATGATCATGAAGAGCAAGACGATCAAAATTAATCAGATCATAGATATGGTGATGAAATGGTACCAGAAGATGGACCCAACCTTAACATGCTTAACAGGAATGACGAAGAGCAAGACAATGAAAATGAACCAGATCATGCAGATGATGATGAAAAGGTACCAGAAGACGGACCCGATCTCAACATGCTTAACAGGAATGATGATGAGAAAGACAATGAAAATGAACCAGATCATGCAGATGGTGATGAAAAGGTACCAGAAGACGGACCCGATCTCAACATGCTGAACAGGAATGATGATGAGAAAGACAATGAAAATGAATCAGATCATGCAGATGGTGATGAAAGGGTAACCGAAGATCTTCATGATGATTTGCTTGGAAGTGATTTATTTGCTGAATTACCAGAGCTAAAGGGTATAAAATTATGACAAAAGCATCAATCTAAACATGTTTTAATATTAATTTAACAAAAGTGTATGGTATTCTTTGTTTCATGTGATAATGTATAAAGCCAAAAACAATACATGCTTGACATACAATAACTATCATAATTACTGCTTAAAATGATTTAAATTTAAACAGAATTTTTTAATAAGATTGCAGATTCCAAAACCTAACATTGAACAACTGCTAAATTTTGAATGAAAATGAACAACATCAAATTTTGTGTTTAAGCCATGGCGATACTTATAATTAGAATGAATAATTTTATTTCTGAGATAATAATGCAACCAATGTCTTCAAACAATTAGCCACATTTAAATGTTTGCATATTTTTATTTTTTGTAGACACTAGTCTGGCGAGTCTCAACATCAATATGTCATTTAGTGATGATGATGGTGAAAAAGAATCTTTCGATACATTAATTGATCAATTTATCAGTCGGTAGGTTTTTGTCTTGAAGTTTAATTTTTAGAAGAAAAGAAATCACAAATGCATTTGGTTTTCTGCATGTTTATATTATCCTTACACAATTTTTGTAATGGTCATTACATTTATAAGTTTGACATGCTAATTTTAGATTTAAAAAGTTTGAAATCATATTGTATTCATCAGACAGGGGTTCCTAAGGGTTTTGTTTCGGGTCCATTACTTTTTCTAACCACTATAAAACACAAAAAAGCATTAGTTCGTAAACCATGCAAAATTCTGATAACTTTTTAATCTGTAGTAGGGTTGGTTTTGTTTTATCATTTAATGCATTACATATTGATGGTTTTTTTTTGTATTTAAAGGAACCATAAAAACACAGAAAAAGTTGAGCATGTGGAAGAAAAAGGTATTCCTTCAAGGTATGTTATTATTTGTCTGTTCTAACAAAGTAACATGTTATTTGAGGGTTATCTTTTTGCTGTATATAATTTTTTTATGTCATGTACTGTACACGAATAAGGCTGTTAGTTTTCTTGTATGTAATGTTTTATTTCTTTCACTTTGTGGTTTTAATATCTAAATTTCTCAATAAACCAAATTACATTGGTATAGATTGTGTCTATGCTGTGTTACTTTTGCTCATTGACAAAAGCTGTACAGTGACCGAAAGTTAAGATCTAAGTAAATTGTTGTCTCATTGGCAATCATACCACATCTTTTTTTTAATTTGAGTTAAAATGTCGTAATGGAACAGCCTTATTTCAGACATTTGTTTAGTTGGAATTTAATCCTACCGGTTGAACTTTTACTCAATTTTTTTAACAGAAACTTTAATAACGGTACAAACTTAGCTGTGAAGTTTGGTTGTAATATTTATCCAGCAGTAGAAAGTGGAGTTGAAGAACATTTTGTTGTTATTTCTTTTTGTTTTTTTACACAGTGCACCCAGAGATGATTATTTTCTGATACTATTCACATTGTATAATTGAACACTTGACATCCAAGAGAATCAATACATTTATAAAAAGTAGTAATTAGAAAGCACTTATTTTGTGCAGATTGTTGTTTACAATATGTTGGTTTTGTCAAAAAATAATCATCTCTCATGTAATTCATTTATTGCAATTTAGTTTGCTGCATAAACTTTCAATTTGCAATTTGATGGTCATCCTTCATTGAAAAAGTCAATACTGGGTCAAGATTGTGAGTCATGTGAGTACTATTTGGAAATTTACAAATTAATGTACTTATCAAAAGTTCTAAAGTTCAGATATAATGTGAATCAGGTTGAGTGTACACAAATTTTAGTATATTTCAATGTATAGAAAAGCCTCTTTATTAAATACCATGAACAAAATAAAAATATATCATTTTTCTTAAAGGTTTCTGAATGGCCATGGATTTTGTATTACAAGTATCACGAAGGAAAGTGGAGGGATGGTGGGCCAACTTAAACCATTGCTACGACAGATGTTGTTCATAAGTTGGACCCACCAGACATTAGAATGGAAGGTCGTCACCTTCATTATATATTTAGTGGTAGGTATTCACACAACATTTCAAACATGACAAGTGTCTTAAAAACATTTTTTTCTTTTAATAAAATAAACAAAACAAATCATGCATGTAAGTATATTTTATATGGGATTGAACAAGTTAAATTATAAATTTTGACTTAGTCAGTAGTATACAAATAACTGTAAACCGAGCAAGTCCAGATAATGAACAAATGTTGCAGCTGATATACCTCTAATAAAGACTTATTTATTACATTAATCATGTGATGATTATGAACATACAAAATGTGCAATTGCATATTGCTTCCATAAGGTAAATGTGCCTTTTCAATGGATCTTTATTCAAGAGAGATTATGCTTGTGATCTTTAAATGTTGGCCAGCATTGACAAAATGAAAGCACAGATGTAGTTTGTAGTTTTAATATACAATCTGGTAAATGATTCTTAAACTCTGGTTTAACTTTATTGCTAATTACATGAATAAATAAAACAGGCTGCTATTTCTTTATTTCATATTTTACTGTATTTATATATAAAAGGTCTTTTTCAAAATTTCTTTGCAGGCAATGATTTCAAGAAAGGGCCGAAGAAGATTCTTGACCTGTGAACTGTGATGCAATGACTCTTTTTGATTAATTAGAATATCAATAAATTGAATTAAAACTAAAATGTGTAATCTTGTTTTAAAAATATAATACATTAGCGAATTATCATGATTAAAGGCTAAAAAACCTGCGAAAACTTCTTCAAATAGAATCAATTTGTATCTAAAAAGGTCAAGGTTCCAGACATTGTACATTGTTCTATTAGTTATGAGATTGTACAGGCAAAGGTTTTTTTTTTGTTTGTTTTCTTTATTGAAAGGCAATTATATAAAAATTAGGCATTATATTCCCTAATAATTAACTGAGGAGGAATGGTTGACAAGTTTTAATTGATGTCTGTCCATGTTACATGAGAACGGCTGATGAACCATTGATATTTTACTGCCTTCAGTCATTTTTTCTGCTCATATATATTATGCTACATATGTAGATCTGTCAATATTAGGAAAGAAACAATACTCCTGCAAGTCTGATAGTATTTTTATGATAACTTTAATGCTTGATGAATTTTTTCAATTAAATTTTATGTGATTCTTCACCTTTAAGGTAGCAAAATTCAATGTGTTGAATGGTTTATGATTTTTTTATGAATGACACATTGCTCTTATA